TGTTTATCAGGTTGTGAGCTTTATCTAACTCGTTTCCATTGATTATTACAAAAGTGTCATCTACTTAACGTATCCAAATTTTGGGTTTGATCTCTAGCAGGATTATGTTTTCGAGCCTTTGCATCACTGTTTCTGCAATCCAGCCTGATATTGTCGATCCCGTGGGTGTTCCTTTGACTTGTTCATATATTTGGTCGTTGAATTGGAAGTACGTTGTAAGGCATAGGTTTATGCATCCCATTCAACTTGTGTGTTGCATTTTTGATTGTTCTGCGAGGTATTCGTCGTTGCTGAGTAGTTGCTCCATTATCTCTGCTAGTCTCTTTTTCTAGGACGTGTGTACTTGCACAGAAGCAGTTGTCTCTGTGTCCTTTATGGATGGGAGACATGGCAATTGAAAGTAGAGGATATTAGGAGGCTATGGATGTTTGCATTATATCTCTCGTATTAGGTGGAATTAATGTTGGTGAGTAATATTGAAGTTAGGCGTCGAACGTGTGTTAGGTTAAGCGGGACAAGAAAATCGATAAGGCTGTGAAGCTGTATCGATTAAAATAGCTAGAAAACGTGCAATATTGACCGATATCAGATTAGGTTGGAAAAAGGATTAAGGGTAGTCAAATCAAAACGTATCAATAATCCATGAAGTCTCTGACAGTTGGTTTTAAGTCAGTCACGTAGGGAAGTGTAGACTTCCCAGTTGGGGAACCTTCCTATATGGCAAAGTGTCCTAACATTAAATGCCCCTATATGAAATTGGTGGCGTGGCTTTAGCAAACTATCGATAATGGTTTTTTGGCTTCCGTCGTTTTCAGTGCACACAGAGTGAAGAGGAAGTGAAGAGCCATTAAGTAGAGGAGTTGCATTAGTAGAAGGAAGGCAAGATAATAGAGATGAAGATGAGGACAAAGATGAGTGAGGATTTGAGAGGTTTCGCGTGCAATTCGGATTGTGTAATCCTATGAAATTTCGTCTATCGAATAAACATATATCAGTAAGACGTCAATTTCTGTCGGATGGAGCGATAAAGAATTCAAATATTGATTTTACGGTTCATATGGCACCATCGACACAACAACAACAACAAGAAGGCGTTTCATCATTATCATCATCACCACCGTCATCACTGTTGTCCAACGGAGATGTGAAAATGAAGTAATCAAATATTTTTTTTATTTTGTTAGAAAATGATAACTTTTTATCTGTGTATTTTTAAAAAATATTTTTATTTTTGATTAAAGCTTGATTCCACACTGTATTTTTGGTGCAAGTATGGAATTTTCAGCATGTGATATCGGTAGGCCGGCTGTCTGGATTCAACATAGAACTTGGCACCGAAGTGCACCACTTCGAGTTGCCACCTTCCAAATAGCACACAAAGGTAGACAAGAAGATGAGTGAAGAGAATCAATAGAGTTTTGACAAGTATAAGAGTGAAACAGAATGAGTAATGGTAGAAAGGAATATGAAAGATTACAGAGACTGAATACATCTGCGTAAGCCATTGACAACGATTTTCAGTCATGTCACCTAATGTCTCCAGCCATTGATTCTTTTAGTCCCGAGGGCCCCAACCCGGAAGTCTGCATCTCCCTACCTGACTCAGTTTAACTGTCAGGGATTTCATGGATTGATGCCATGTTTTTGGATCTTTTGCAAAATTTCCAATATGCTTTTACGCCTCGCAAAATTAGTTCCAATAACAAGTTACGAAATTGCCTAAAAACGTCTAGTATGGCTTAGTGCACTATCCCAAATCGACTACATGTACAAGGCTTCAGAAATTGTGATGTTTGAAGTATTTGCTGGAGGTCAATGTTGTAGATGTAACTTTGGTCATATAATTGTTTTAGGTGTTAATAAATTCGCTTATGATTGCCCCGCTTGTGCGATTCTTATCATACCTTTGCTTCACATCCCACTTGTCGAAGTCTCATTGAGGCCTAATTCTCAGGGAAATTCAAGTGGTTTCTAGACCTCCGGAGATTTTAATGCAATGCAGGAATTCAATCCAAATTTAAAATAATTGCAAAATGTTTAGAGGAAATTTCGGGGAAATGCAACATTCGGTGAGTGCCAGCTAGCACGAATCCTAGGTCCAGCACACTTCCCTGCTGACTGCCTTCATCTTATTTATATATTTTTTTTTCAGTATCCAGTCAGAACTTAATGAAAATTGCTAAATGTCTTATAGCTTTATGCAAGTAGGCTCACTACACTAACTCCTTATCATCGATAATAGGCGAAATGAAACCAATGAAGGTATAAAAATTGATTATCTTTGAAATGATAACCTGATGTTGAGTTTTGTTGCTTCAACATTCATATACCAGATTGTCAACCGCAAAACCTATGATGATACTACCTATTTGTTCAGGTTGAAGTAGGTGGGGCTGAACGCAAACCCAGACCCTCACCGTTAGTAAAATCGAGTGCTGATGAACCACGTATCTGTAGTAGTAATGTGGTAAAAAGCATATGTGGAAAATGTAGACACTTTACTTATTATTTGATTATTTAATAAGATTTTTAGTAGATAAAAATTGAATAATAAATAACTGCTGCTGCTGCTGCTGGATTCAACATAGAACTTGGCACCGAAGTGCACCACTTCGAGTTGACACCTTCCAAATAGCACACAAACGTAGACAAGAAGATTAGTGAAGAGAATCAATAGAGTTTTGACAAGTATAAGAGTGAAACAGAATGAGTAATGGTAGAAAGGAATATGAAAGATTACAGAGACTGAATACATCTGCGTAAGCCATTGACAATGATTTTGAGCCACGTCGCCTATTGTCTCCAGCCATTGATTCTTTTAGTCCTGAGGGCCCCAACCCGGAAGTCTGCATCTCCCTACCTGACTCAGTTTAACTGTCAGGGATTTCATGGATTGATGAGGCCATGTTTTTGTTTGTCCACCACTTACTCTTTTCCAACCTGCACCTATATCAGCTAGTAATGCCCGTCGGGGGAGAAGATGGTTAGGCCTGCGCAGCACGTCACCTAACCATCTCAATCTATGTAACTTCATAGCCTCTTCGAGTGATTTTACCTCTTTGCCCAACACTCTACGCCTAACGTCAACATTACTTGTAATAAATAACTAGTTAAGTGAGAGTGTTAAGAATATTTTTGAGTGTATTTTTCACTACTTAAGTCCTGAATAAAATAATGGGCTTCAAGTTTTAGAGTCTCAGTAGCGATGTTGTTGATGCTACCCTCCTAACACCCAATCTTTCCTGTTTTCTGAGTAGACTATTGGTTATTCAAACGAAGCAAGGTTTAAGAGTGCGTCAGTTGGGAGTCGAACCCTGGACTCCTTGTGTATTTGGCGAGAGTTCTACCGTTAAACCACCGACGCCATTGTTTTTGGCTGACTGACTGGTTTCAACGTATAACTTTGCACAGACGTGTATCAGTTTCAATTGACACACTCCATGTACCACACAAAGCAAGAGGAGAGAGATTTAAAAGAAAGATAATGGACAGAAGCTGGAGTGAGCGAAAAAGAATCGTAATATAAAAGAGCGATAGATGTGCAAAACTTGAGCACTGTAGTAGTACGTAATTTCATATTCATTTGCTTATTAGATATATCACACAGTAAAGAAACGGTATTGTTTACTGGATGACAAGGTTTTGAACACAATTTATTGTTCATAATCATATCAATTATCAACACACGATTTCGAAACTTGAGTTTTATAGTTCTCTTTGCTCTCTTCGTTTCCAGGTTAGTCTAAATGGTTTAATTTAATGCCAAAAAATAACAACCCCAGTAGGATGTATTGTGTTGTTAAGTTCATAAGTCAGGATACCCTATTAAAACTATAGTTGATTTTAGAAATTCACCGACTTATGAATTATCTAAATATTTAGCCATGATATTAAATCCCCTTAAAAGCCACTCAAAATCTAGACTAACAAATTCCTATGAACTAAAACATAGATTAGATAATTTAAAATTAGATAATGAAGAAAAAATGGTTAGTTTTGACATTGTCAGTTTATATATACGTATACCAATAAATATGGCTATGGAGGCAGTCAGAAACGAACTCATTTCTGAACACGAACTTGAACTTAGAAAGAAAGTGCCACTGTAGGACATAATGCTGGGAGTGCAGCTGTGCATGACCTCCACAGTATTTAAATTCCAGGGGAAAATATACAAACAAACTGAGGGAGTTGCCATGGGGTCACCAATATCCCCGGTTGTGGCAGTTATATACATAGATAGGTGGGAAAACTTAGCGAGTGAAACGTTCAGCTCCATCCCAAAAGTATGGTGGAGGTATGCAGATGAAACATTCACCGTACTTAGAAAACAGGATATAAGTAGATTTCTCGAACACATCAACTCAAAGGTGGAGGCAATTCAATTAACTTATGAATTGGAATGCCAAGAAGGGGAGCTTCCAATGTTAGATTGTAGCGTAAAAAAGAAAGATGGGAAGTTAGACACTAGTGTTTACAGGAAACCCATACATTCAAACCATAGAAGAGAACAAAACGAACTGCTGAGCAGTACAGACATCCTTTGTTCGATAGGCAGCCGGATATAACTAGGAACAGGTAACTACCGGGATAGAACTGTAGGAGACGGTCACTGTCGTTGGTTCGTCAATAGGGAACTCCGTAGCTGTCACCAAACATACTTTTTAGTCTGGCATAACTTTCATACTATGCAGTGTTCGTGTGATCACAATTGATATGATTATGAACAATAAATTTTGTTCGAAACGTCATCCAGTAAATAATACTGATTCACTGTGTGATATACCTAATAAACACACTAATATGGAATTACTTACTACCACAGTGCCCAAGTTTTACACATATATCAGTGTTTGTGTAGCTTTTATGAAATATTTAGTGCGATGAGTAGTTTTACTTAAATTTCAGTGTATATAGCTCTCTTTAATCCTCAACTTTTCTTATATATTTTTAAATTTCATTTCTAGATAGATACATACCTTTCAACGATAGTGTATGGAATGTTGCATGAATTATTACTTGCACTGTACGGTATATCTGGTGGCATCTTCATTGAATCTACAGAGAAAGGTGGTGATAATGATGATACAGAATTGGATAGACATTTAATACCTCTGGTGAATGATAATCTCCTCCTTCCTGAAAGTGAACTTAGTCTACAAAGAGAACTATTAAAACTAGGCTCATGTTATAATTATTTAATCAAGTTTATTGAAAAATTTTCAGAGCCTAATTATGGCTTGTATTTATCAGCTTTCGCCTTTGGAATTGATGATTCACTTAAAGAATATCGAGCGGATTTATGTACACTGGAGACTGAACTATCGACAGATAAATCTATGGGTGTTTCACACTTATCTTGTCGCCTGCATGCTTACAAGATTTTACTACCTGTACTTGTAAAAGTCACAAAGAAAGTTGAAAGTGTTGTTATTAATCCTGAAATGATGAAGCATACTAGCTCATCAAGTTGTCGACTTCTAGATGTTATATTATCTGCAACACCTCCTGGTCTTCCCGGTCCAAGATATGTTATGCGTAAGGTGGTTTCGCGTGTTATGCAAGTATTCTATCGACAACTGTCTTCATGGCTTATCTACGGTGTTCTGTATGATCCTTATTCAGAGTTTTTCATCAAAAAACTTGAGTCTAATCATATTTCAGATGAGAAGAAGAAACAACAACCATTGTTTGTGATAGACAGTCACTGCATTCCTTCATTTTTGCCTACAACATTTGCTCAAAGAGTATTTGAAACTGGCCAGGCTGTTTACTCGGCTAGTCATAATCCCTCAGAGGCGTCATTTATCTTGGAGTTGGAAAAAGTGTATATTCCACGGTTTACAGAAATATCAACCTGTGTTGGTGAAGATGTCAACGGGATCCAGTCAACTGAAAGCAGTTTGAGTAACTTGATAAATGTCAATGAAATTGACAGTCTTGTATGTGATATCAAAAGTGTTGTTTTACATCATGTTTGGTGTAGTGTAATACAACAGCATAAATTTATTGATTATCTTCGGCTGTTTAAAGATGTCCTACTTTTAGGACGTGGTGAACTGTTTCTTGCATTTCTTGATCAGCTGAATTTTAAGAGTAATAGTTTTAACAATAATAATTACAATAATAATAATAAGTAGCTGTAGCAGTAGTCCACGAAGTTCAATCCATTGGGGGGAGTTTGGAGATAATCTGCTAGATCAGACACCGCCAACAAATGAAAATGAAGTGGAAGCTCTTGAATATGATATTACTCAGGCGTTTCTTGCAGCAGCAGCACGATGTCTAGGCTTAGACGATGAAGAATTAGACGATCAATTTAGGTAGGTGTGTTGTGTGCTTGTGTGTGTGAGTTTTATAAAAATTCACTAGTATTAATTGATTGTTTATCATCCTATTTATTTATTTATTTATTTTTCACATTCATGTTACTAACTCACCTTTAGAGAATGATTGGATTGTAGAATGTATTATTTTGTCAATCTGTGTGTATCTATTTCATGCGTATACACATACCCTACCCATTTTTGATATAAGTATAAACTTGGGCACTGTGGTAGAGTATAACTCCATTATGGATAAGATTTTTGTTTTGATAAATCACACAGTGTTGTACAGTAATATTAACTGATGACAACGTTTCTAGCACAAACTATTGCTCATAATCATATCAAGTTACTCACACAACTTTTTTCCTTCATTTATATACATGAGTGAAACTGATCATTAGACATTTGAATAAAATTCAATATGGGATGATGTACATTCAGAAATAATAATAATGTGAGTGTTATTGATCAATTACAATCAGATGGGAAATAAGATGAGTGTTTTTTATATTCATAATAAGTTACTTGTTAGAATGTTGTGATGTGTTTGAATTGAAATAGAATTTTAAGATTATTTATTATCCTCTTCTGATTTGACTTGTGGTAATAATATCTTCCATATTTCTGGTATTTGCATTGAGTCATTTCTGTTGCATGTGTATCCATAATGGTGTTAGGTGTAGACTCGATGAACCAGGATTCAGTAATCAACCTCCCTCTCCACCTACCTAGATTACTTTTTAGAATTTTAACCCTCTCCCACCCTACTGTGTGGTTGTGTGTTAATGCGTGAAGTGCAATTGCTGAGCTTTTTTCTAAATTACTTATTTTCTCGGGGTCAACCATTCTTACCTTAGCTAAATTCTTATGTTCCGACAATCTGACTACCCCCGATCTACTAGTTTGACCTATATAGTTGACCTCACAGTCAATGCAGGGTATTTTGTAAATTTTATTTTTTTGTCTAATTGGGTCCACCGTGTCCTTTAGCCTACAGAGCTTGCATTTTTGAGTGAGTTTATAGGTTTGAATACCACACGGGTTAGCTCTCTCCGACCATGCACATGGTCCGGGGTTCGATCCCCTGCGGCGCACACCGATATCTATGTCGGCTTAAATTTGGGCTACCGATATCCATGCTGAAAATTCCATACCTGTACTGAAAATACGGTATGGAATCAAGCTGTAATAAAAAAATAAAAAAATAATTCCTACCTTATTAAGAATCCTACGTAGGGTCTCAGATGTCCACACATGTATATAAATGAAGGAAAAAAGTTGTGTGAGTAGTGCCTTGATATGATTATGAGTGGCAATAGTTTGTGCTCGAAACGTGGTCATCAGTTAATATTACTGTATAACACCACTGTGTGACTTATCAAAATAAAAACCTACCTATTTTTGATATCCTGCTGTCGGTCGAGGGAAGTGTGTACTGCGAAACAGTTCGCTTTGTCCTTCCTTATGGCTATGAGTCATGGCCATTGAAAGTGGAAGATATGAAAAGACTAGCGGTCTTTGATCACAGATGTTTGCGTTTTTATCTGCTATAGTGTGTAGTATAATATGGCGGGTAATATTGAGGTTAGGTGTAGAGGGTTAGTTAGAGTAGGTAGACCAATCGATGGGATTGTGATTTTACGGATGTCAAGTCACCGCCTCCATTGACGAGCATTGGTTAGCCGACATTAGATTAAGTTGGTTGGCAAAGTGTTAGAGGTGGTGAAACCAAAATCTGACATGTGAAGTCTTTGAAAGTTTGTGTGTGTGTGTGACAGCCACGTAGAAAGGTGTAGATTGCTTGGTGGTTTTGGAGTCTTCGGGATGTTAAGAATCAATGGGTTTTCAATAGTGCAGATTCATTCACACTCTTTGTAATCCTCCTTATGTTTTTAACTCTCATATTTTTCAATGCTTGTCTTTATTCTCTCTGTCGCTTTATTGCGTAACGCGGAAAATTCTATTCTGTATGACTTTCAATGTTACTATTATTACTGTTCTATGCATACGATGGTTTTTTCTTCAAACATGAACTCTCTGGGTATGTTTATATTGTTTCTGTACATAAACTCGACCATATCTTTAGGCTATAAGTAGCTAATGAGAAGCTAACGAAATAAATGAGGGCACCATTTCGTGAAGGGGAATAAATGTATGAAGTTCCACATGAGTCTGTTAGATAACATGTTTTTTTTAGAAAGTCTTTATTTAAGACATATCTATATTGAATTAGTTGTGTTCTCTGAGCTGATGGTTGATGTAATTGCGAAGATTTCATCGTCCAGCTTCCAGACAACACCCCCCCTTCAGTGTAGGCTTTACTATAAAAAGAACTTATTTAAATTCTCGATGAATGATATAATTGTATCTATCTCCTCTGTGGACCACTGGCGTGACTGGTTGTTAATTTACGTCTCTGTTGATCATATTTTTATTATAGCGAAAATATTCATTCAGACATCTGTAAAAACAAAATAATTGAGCAAAGAATATCCTTTTCGATAAATTCCTCCTCTGGCTCTACAATTATATGTATACATGTTTATGTACATGGAACAGTCTAGAATAGTAGTCAATAACAATATTAGTGTTTTTTAAATAATATCGATTTGTTAGGTAAGATCACAATGGAATTACAGTTCTTTAAAGATGCTTAAATTACAATAATAATAAAAATATAATAGCGAATAGAATATCAACTAAAATTAGGGAAATTTCACAAAAGTTCAGGACCATTCAGACCTAGATGGCCAGCGGGGTAAGGACAATGTCTGAATCAACTTCTTTCGGATAAAGTTAGGTTTCTTAATGTGGATCCCAACAGCCAGCCTCAGCATTATGTAGTAGATGAACTCTTAAGATGAAGTTAAGATTAGTTGGTATGCGGTGAATGACTTTGAAAGCCTCGTTAACATCAATCTTGTGTTCTGTATCTACAAGATGAAATAGAATAGCGCTACGAATTGATTTTGTTTGGGCTTTACTTAACCAACCATTTTGGGTGATGCTCGGAAATCTGACAAGAAACACGCCTAATTGTGTGGCCTATGTAACTGGCTCACTCCGCAGGAGCAGTTAAATTGGGATATACACATAGAAGAGGCGAAATTAGGCAGTTTGTCTTTTACTCTCGAACGCAAAATAGGGGTGGTTTTGAAGACACAGCGTAATTCAGCAGCAGGGAATGCTCTTTTTACAGAATTTCTAAGACGTTGTGTTAGTATCTCGCTGATGTTGTCCCTAAGGAACTGCATTTGTAAGAATAAGGCCTTTTTAGAACTGTTGGTACCTTGGGCTGCTTTGACTTTATTGACTACTATTCTAGAATATTCTATGTATATATAATTGTAGAGCCAGAAGAGGAAATTATCGAAAAGGATATTCTTTGCTCAATTATTTTGTGTTTCACATCTTTATCGACTTGGAATTCGAACTTTCTTGTTATGTGATTTACTTTTTATTAGCTGGTAAATTTGGTCTGTAATGTGTTTGTTAATCGCTGGCTGATTCACTTGAGTACCAATCAGGCTTCTAGGAATTCCCTGGCAGTATTTTCGGTGTTTCCTCTATTTGAAATTTCCACATTATCCCAATCATCAAATTGCTGTCCATAATTATCCACATGCATTGATATGAAAGCATATATATCATGTCTTTTCATCACAGCCAATTTGTGTTCTTCGATTTGGATTCGAAATGGGGACGCCCGCTGTGACCGATGTAATGTTTATTGCAGTTCATGCATGTAATTTATTTTGTAAATGGTATTAATTTTATCTTCTTTTTCTGTTGGATGGATGTTTCGGTTTGCACAATATCGAATGAAGTGATTGTGCTGGCTGGCTGGCTTTTGTACTATATACTTATTTCAGACAGTCTTAATATTCTAGCTGTCATTTCAGAGATACTTTTTATATGTGGTAGGATGAATTTTCTTGTGGTCTTTGATATTGGCTTTGTTGTTGGTGTTATTATGACTCGAGTTTAAACACTTTTTTGATGAAATTGTGACGATATGGACTGTTTTTGAAGACGGTCAGTTAGTAGGTATTTTTCCCCCATTCTCTTCAACACCGGAGTAGTAGTGCCACAGTGTGCTTGAACTCTTTTAAACAATGTTTGCACACAGTTTATTTTGTGGGGGCAAAGTTAAACTTTAAGCACCACTAACTACCAATCAGCGAATGACCTCGAACGCACCAATCAAGTGAAGGAGGAGGAATTTTTGTGTATGGAATGCATATATTTATGAAAAAATGCATAAAAACTGTAGAAAAGTGTTACAGAGGATATCTTGCTCTTACATGTGATTAAAATAGCTCTCAGTTTTAGGTTGGAGTATCAACAGAGTAGAATTCCATTGTGGGTAAAATTTATTTTGATAAAGTCTCATAATGTTATGCAGTAATATTTACTGAGCAATAAATGGTGCTCGAAATGTCATCAGTAAATATGACCCTGAGACTTTATCAAAATAAATTTTACTCACAATGGAATTATACTCTACCGCCACAGTGCACAAGTTCTATTCTTATATCAACAGAGAAATTTAACCACATTCTATGCATGTAATTATTTAGGTCTTCTAACTCTAACAATAAGTCTAATATTTCCTGAAACTAACCCTAACGTGCAAAATGTCCCAAAGTTAACTGTAATCTAACTCGAACCAACCCTAATGTCTCCTTTTTTAGGTTAACCTAACCTTAACTTGTCCTTGGCTTAAAGCTTAACTTAATCTTTCCCAAACCTAATCTGAAATTTGTCAGATATCCCATTTAACAGCATAACACTTCGATTAGCATATTTTATTGATGATGATAACATTATTTGCTGGATTTCACTAACTTGCTTAGTGAGCGATTCAAGGTCATTGGTGCGGTCGCACTCCACTGGTAGTTAGTTAGTGGTGCTTAAAGTTTAACTTGGCCTTTGTGGGTAATGGGGTTGGGTTATTACTACTATAATTGGGTATTTGTTCTGTGTGTGTGTGTGTTGATTAGAGAGAGACGTAAATTAACAACTGGTCACACCAGTGGTCTCCAGAGGGCTAGTTTCGCTCATCGAGTTTACGCCGTCTCTGGCGTAGACGTGATATCCGATCATCGACTAAAGGGCGTGCTCAGCGGTCCGCTCCGTCCTGGCCATTGAGAGCGGAAGACATGAAAAGATTAGCTGTTTTTGATCATAGGTGTCTGCGTTCTATCTCCCGTGTGAAGTGGTATAATAGGGTGAGCAATATTGAGGTTAGGCGTCGAATACTAGGTAAGGATGGGAAATCAATCAACGAGGCTGTGAAATTACATCGACTGAGATGGTCAGGACATGTGTTACGTATGCCTAGTCATCGCCTTCCTCGACAGTGGGCAATGTTAGCTGATATAGGGTCAGGCTGGAAAAGAGCTAGCGGCGGTCAAACGAAAACATGGCACCAGTCAATGAAATCTACAACAGTTAGTCTAGGCCACGTAGGAAGGTGTAGACTTCCTGACTGGTTGGGATCCTCGGGACGGTAAAAACCAATGGTTGGAAACAATTGGTGATATGGCTCAAAATCGTTCTCAATGACAGTGCAGATGCATCCACTCCTTGTGACTTATGATTTCCAATGAAACTGTTTTGTTCTTCGTTATTACTATTCCTTTGTCTCACACCTCTGTTTACTGTCTCTAATATGCATTTATCCTACTTTCTTCTCTTGCTTTGTGTGCTACAAGGAGGGAGTGTGGCGACTTGAACTGCCGCACATATGTGCAAAGTTCTATGTCGAAAACAGACAGACAGAAGACCAGAGGGGATGGATACATTTACGTCATTCATAGAGAATTTAAATGAGTTCATTTTATACTAAAACCTGTGCTGATGAAGAGGGATGTTGTCTAGAGAAGGTGGACGACAAAAGCTACACAATTAAATCAACCATCAGCTCAGAGAACATAACTAATTGAATACCATCCCCCTATAAGCTAAAAATGGTCTTTTTGTTTTTTAATTTTCTTTTAAATTTATCTAGAATTTTTATAAAATTGAAAACCACATCTCAACAAGATCCCGCAGCAACAACCACAACAACAGCAAATCCTACAACTGATCTAACCGTCTTAGACTGTTTATACTTACAGATTAATATTCCATCAGCCCTCGATTGTCTATTCTCTACACAAATATGTCATGCTTACAATAGGCTGTTTCATTTTCTCTTCTCTATTCGTCGAACACAATTAAAGCTACAGCAGTATTGGGCTGATCAAATTCTTCTATGGCGTCGTGCTAGATCTTCAGCGTATTATAAGACGAAGAAGGGGCCAGGCAGGAATGCTGATGATGATAATAATATAACAATGTCAAATAGTAATTTTGTTCATTTACAATTGAGAATAGGTCGGCGTTTATTAGTTCGTAATCATATGGCATTTATTATTGAAAATTTATTATACTACTTACAAGTAAGTAAATGTTTTGTTTTTGGTTTTTTACTCCCTGATTTTTTAAATGCTGTTTGTTGTCATTTGAATGTACTTGTAAATGATTAACATGAGGTGTAATTTAATTCCAGTTGATATGAAGTGCTTCTGATGAAATGAGACGTTCTTTTTGATTTCTGAAATGCTTTTTCTGGATGATGATTTCAATCTTGTCAAAATCAATTTTGTGGCCTGATTCTATAGCGTGTAGACAAGCTGTGGCTGGCTGATGATTTTTCAAGCTTTTCTAGTTCCACTGAATTTCTCGGTGGTCGAACAGATGTAGCTCTACAGTGTTCATTTGTTCTGATCACCTTGATTTCTCGCGATGTTTGTCCGATGTATATCCCGTCACATTCCAAGCAGGCATTTTATTTTATAGACACAATTAGGTAGAGAATCTTTAGGGATTTGGTCTTTTATATGGACAAGGTTGCTTTGCAGTGTGCGTGTCTGATGTTTTGAAGAAAACTCTGACGTTGTGCTTATTGAGAGTACTCTTCTGATATCGTCTGACGTCTTTAAACACCGTAGAGCATCTGTTCGACCACCGAGAAATCCAGTTGAACCATAGTAAAGCTTGAAAAATCATCAACCATAGGTGGTCGTCTACACACTATAGAATAAGGTCACAAAATTGATTTTCATAATATTGAAATCATCATTCAGAAAAAGCATTTCAGAAATCACAAAGAACGTCTAACATCATCAAAAGCACTTCATATCAAGTGGAATCAAAATTGTCTGAATTGAATAGGAATGATGGACTAAAACAGAATCTGACCTGGTTACAACACCTCTCTCCCCCATGAAATGACAAAATCAACACGAATGTGATAAGCAATTTCATTTTGTAAACACACGCTGCTTTTACAAGTTTGCACACTTATCAAATCCAACAATCTACACCTGGTTTTGTTATCTTTACCAATTGGTCAACTTGATAACGCAAAAATGACCCCATGCTGAGGAACGATGATTAAGTTGTTATATATAAGCTGAGATTTTGTAAATTCTGGTTTAATATTACTACTTTGATAAAGCTATTAGCAGCAGCATTAAATAGCAAAACGTCAGTAAACACAACAATATCGTTTTGTTTTTTATTGATGGGGCAATACAAAAAAACCTTTATTATAAGAAAATATCTTATAACCAATGCACTGTTAAAAGTGAACTTGGTTTGGACATATATAAATTAGTAATTTTAATTGAATTTCTTTAGATTTTCCCGTCGATTGATTGGACCGAAGTGCTCGATCTCAGGTTGACATGTCGGCTTCTTGTGCAGATGCTTTGACGATGTCTGGTGGATGGTGACAAGCAGTGGAACACACCAGGACACGCATTTCGTCCTTTTTAGGACTCGTCACTGGGCGTACCTGCATTTCTCAGTGGGTGATGATGTTCCCACCGAGGCTCGAACCCAGTGCCCATAGTTTGAAACGCCGATGCGTTATTCACCAGACCACTTGGGCCACCCGTTGCACAAGAGGTGGCCCTCGTGGCCCATGTACCACACAAACCAAGAGAAGAGGGATTTAAAAGAGTTGTAATAAACAGAAATATGAGGCCAGAAGAATAGTAATATGGAAGAACAATATAATTTTACTCCATATTGTAAATCTTAAAGAGTGAATGCATCTGCACCAGCCATTGACAATAAGGATTTTGAGCCATATCACCAATTGTCTCCAGCCTCCATTGATTCTTAGCATGCTGAGGACCCCAGTCAGTCAGTCAGCCGGTCAGTCTATGCCTTCCTATGTGACTGGCTGGCTTAAACTAACTGTTATGAACTTCATTGACTGATGAGACCATGTTGTGGTTTGACCACCAACGTGCTAGCTCTTTTCCAACCTCATCAGTCCTATGTCAGATAACACTGCCTGTTGTTGAGGAAGGCGATGGTTAAGCTAGGCATGCGTAACACATGTCCTAACCATCTCAATCTATGCAGCTGCTTCACAACCTCGTCGACTGATTTGGCCTCCTTACCTAGCACTCGACCGACGGTTAACCTCAATATTGTCCAGCTTATTATACTACTTAGCAAACACAAGAGATAGAACGCATATACCGATGATGAAACACAGCTAGTCTTTTCGCCACGTCTCCCACTTTTAATGGCTGATATGTCCCACTCACAACCATAAAGGAGGACAGGGCGAACTGCTGAGCAATATACACGTCCTTTAGTTGACAGCCTGATATCACTTCTACTAAGCCAGCGGTTGCGTAAGTTGGTATATGCGAAACGAGCTTTCTGTATCCGTTCTGAGATTTCGTCAGGGATCAACCCGTTGGGACTAATGAAGCGGTCAACGCACCCCACCACTTCACTCCCTATTTTTAAGCTAGGAGTGAGTCGCTGTAGCATCATCTTACGTTTGACAGCAGGGGCGAATCGCATGCCATACATTCAAATGTTGCTGCTCAAGGTGTTGAGAAGACTGCATTTTGTCGGCATCTTCACCTAGAAGGACTATGTCATCTGCATATTCTAAGTCAGCGAAATTATTCTCTGGTAACAAGTCAATCCCTGAGTCGCTGAAGTCAGCAGTTAGGGTTGACTCCATTGGTACATCTATGATGAAACTAAAGAGAAATGGGGACAGTGGACATCCCTAACGTAAATCGCTGGTTGTAATCACTTCAGATGATAACGCTCTCCGTAAGCCCTCACCTGGCTACATGAGTTCAAGTAGAATCTCTGGATCAGTGCAATGTATTTTCTCGGCATTCCATTCACAGCCAAACGTCTCCACAATATCTCTTGGTCGACAGAATCGAATGCCGCCTTTAGGTCAACAAATATAACGATGGTTGGATGCCGGTAAGTATGTGTATGTTCCAGAATCTGTCGAATGGTGAATATATGATCAATACACTTTTTTCCTGGTCTAAAGCCTGCCTAGTTCTCTTGTGTTTGTTTTCCCCTGAGCACCGCTTAGTCTACGTTTGACTATTGAGCCTAAAACTTCAGCACTACAGAGTGCAGTGCAACAAACATAAATAAACCTGTTTCAGAAGCTGTATGATGATACCGCATACCAAGTAATTCACAACGAAAAACTCACCGAATCTGTTAATGTGAAGACAAGACTGTCTATTATCATTGATGATGATATTCCTGATTGTGGCAGGCCGGATTATGTGACAGACCGTGAGAAATGAGAATGCAGTTTAACTAGGCAAAATATGGTTTTCAAGTATTGGTGCGTACTGATGAAGAGTCCCAAACTAGGATGAAACAGCTGTCCAGTACTCCCAAGTTTTCCATTAGTTCTCTAACTGATGTCAGCTCATGATGAAATCCTCCATGCAATCAAACAAAATCCCTACAAAAACCAATACTTGAAAATTAATCTGATGCTCCCTAGCGACTGGCCCTATACAGGTGGTTAACCTGGGGTTCTAGTGAGAAGCCATAACCAGTAGGGTACAGCAGGTTGAAGGTGAGGCAGTTACTCATCAAAGAAGACATTGCGAAATGGTCGCGCTATGTCATGAATTGGCAGAAGTTAGAATTCAAGGACTATTGGATCGTGTCCCAGTGGCTCAATGGTCTACGAGCTCGCCTTGTAACCAGAAGGTCCTGGGTTCGAACCCTGGTGGTGGGTGCGTACTGATGAAGAGTCCCGAACTAGGATGGAGGAAACAGCTGCCCAGTACTCCTAGCTGGTTTTCCAGTGGTTCTCTAACTGATATCAGCTCATAATGAAATCCTCCATGCAATCAAAATATGATTTAGTGAATTATTTATTTTTTCATCAGGAAGTACTGGAATGGTTGTTTCGTCCAAGTTTGAGGTTCTTCGGTAATACGCACCTAGGATCCCACCGAGAATTGAATCTGATTCTGACTAGTAATTGACAACAGGACAAAGTTTCCTTAGGGTTCTACTGAAATGTTGTGACCAGTAGTCGTTGGCTCCACCAGGTCTGGGGTGTAAGGACAAATACTGATGACCCATTGACTGATGGAGGCACTGAAAGTCACGAATTAACTAGTTAGAATTCATTGGCTTTTCTTGCCTGAATGGTCAACAAGCTTGCCACGTAACCCGATGGTCCTAGGTTTCGTCTCGTGTGTGTGTGTTGGGGGTCGTGGTCGTGTACTGATGAAGAGTCCTAAACAAGGACGAAACAGCACTCTTGAAATCAATCGAATCCTTACAAATTAATACTTGAAAATTGTTTTTTTCTCAAACTCTCAACCTAAGATATCATTTATTTTCCTTTGTCCGTTCTTTATCATACCATTATTATTATTATTGCAGGTTGATGTTATTGAATCACAATTCTCACATTTACTATATCGTTGTCAAACCGACCAAGATATCCAATTGATTCAAATCGCTCATGAGGCGTATTTAGCCAGTCTACAAGCACAAGCACTATTATTCATGCCAAATGTAAAACAATGTATATTCAATTTACTCAACACTTGCCGTCAGTTTGTTCATATATCAAGTCAAATCGCCTATGACAGCAGCAGTGACACTGGCGGTGTTTCTCTTGAGAATATCCAGTTGTCTAACAAAGAAGAGCATATCATCAGTGCATTTTATAATCAATCGAAATTGTTATATGAGTTAATTAGTATGTCGTGTTCAACCGGTGCTAAAAGCAGCGTTAGCATAAATTCTGCTTATACTCATCGTTTCTCCCGTGGCAATAATAATAATATTATTAATAATAATAGTAATAATAATCCTGTTCTGAATTCAGGAACAGCAGATTTAAATCAGTTATTATTACGCTTAGATTTTAATAATTATTATAGTAATTTACCTGAGGATTTAATATGAAAGAGATTATTGATTTTTGCTATTATTATTATTACTGTTATTATTATTATCTTTTATAAATAATGTCTTTACCATGTATACAATGAATCTATCTTATCATCCGGAGGATTATCGATCCAGCATTTATAATTTAAAATTTTTATAACGTGTATTTTGTTTAAATCATGGAAAATTCCCATTGTAACATGTAGAAAATCAAAACAAGTGATTCAGCGAAGAGACTCTTTTCAACAACGAATTTATCATAAAGCTGTACAATCGTGTATATATGGTTTTTATAAAAATTATATCCGGTGAGGGAATCGAATCAAAGGTGTGAATGCATAAAATAATAATATGAAATGCAATTAAAACTAAAATGTTTGTGATTATAATCGTAGTTAAATGTCAAGTGGCAAAACAAATTTAACGTCATATATAGAATAATTCATAGGATGGATAGAACTTGAAAAAGGTGTGCAATCATAGGATTAGTGGACAAATCGAATAAAATAAAAACGTTACGTAATATTGTGTGAAATTTAATGGCATAGAATTTGATGTTGCATAAAGGAATTGATTTAGAATGACAAGTGGAACAAGTGAAATAATACCGGGGACAATTACAAGTGAGAGTAGTAATAGTAACAATTGACGTAATAAGGAAGAGTATACAAATTGAATAGACAAAAGTGAAAACTTGGTAGAGCTAAAATATGATTGGGGATTACCATACATTAGCATAGAGGGATTAAGACCATGAAAGTTGGAGGGGCTGAACAAGCTTTTTCTGTACACAGAGATCTGGCTTTTCTGTTTCGATAGCCAAAGATGGCTATAGCAATACAGATGAGTCGGGTACGTAGGGATTTGGGTAAATTACTCTTTGCCTTGTAGATGACTTTGAAGGCGGAGGCTGTAGAGATAGGGCGGTCATTATCGACCAGATGTTCAATGATCGCGCTTCTTATTGCTCCACTTCCACCTTTTCGTAACCATACATTCTCTTCGCTGAATCATTTGTTTTGATTTCCTATATTTTGTTTAAATCATCATTTCTGTATTTCGCGCTAATTGATTGAGGCGGCTGTCGTGTCCCAAGTAGTCTGGTGGACAACACTTTGACGTTTAAAACGAAGGCGAGGGTGGGTGGGTTCGACTTTTTGTGTGAGGACATCGTCAGTTCAGTCACTCGACTGACGACAATTCACCCAAATAGGGCGAAATGCGCTTCCTGGTGGATTCTACTACAAGTGTCACCATTCACTAAGTGAAATCATGTTTATAAAACAAGCAATAAATGTTAATAAAGCAGGATTTAATGAATTCATCAAATTTCGGTAGAACTCGTCAGCTGAATGCTCTACATACACAGATATATATACTTTTGGAATTACATTGGGGATATAAGATTGATAAGTAAACAAACTACATTGAATTAGTTATGCAGAAAGGCAGGTGCATTCGCACCTCAGCTGACGAGTTCTGTCGAAATTTGATGAGTTCATTAAATCCTGCTTTATTAACCTTTATTGCTTGTTTTAAATTCGTATCGAGAAATAAATGTTTCCAATTCATGTTTATAAGGTGTACCGACAAACCTCATCATTCAACAACCAGCACCAATCACCATCAACGAGAGAGAGACATTTAAGTGAAGTTACTTCCTTCACTTATCTAGGCAGTAAGTGTCGTTTCAACTGCAGGCAGTCGGAACAGATGAAGATGTCAAAGCTAGCCAGCAAGAATCGGAAAGGTCAGATACGTTTCCACCAACCTGAAACCAGTTTGGAAATCTCCTACACTCAGTCAGCATAAAGAACAAGATTCGGATTTTCAACACTAATGTGAAGTCGATCCTTCTATATGGGTCAAAAGCATGCACTGAAAAGGATTTCCAACAGGCTACTTCAGACTTTATCAACAGCTGCCATCTTCACTGACTTCATACTAACGATCAAGTAGATAGAAAGAATTCGTAACAAGAAACTCTGGTAATCAACGAACCAACGAAGAGCCGACGGCTGAACAAATATGCAGGATAAACTGGAGATGGGTTGGGCATACATTGAGTAAACCATCTATTGACATCGCGTGCCAGACCCTCGAGTGAAATCCCAATTGGAAGCGACGAGTGGGTCGTCGGTACTAGGGTGACTTGGAGGAGGTCGTGTGAGGAAGAGATGAAAGAGTTTGGGCAATCATGGACCCAGCTGAAAAGGATGACAAAAAATAGAAGAAAGTGTAGATGTGTTGTCGCAGCCCTATGTTCCACTCGGAACCCAAGGGAACAATAATAATGATAATGTAAGGTGTACTTATCTGGGTAACCAGTTAGATAGGCTAATTGAGCGACTTCGAGCTCGTTGGCGATCGGCTTCAGCTAGAAATAATGCTCATGATTGTTGTATGGCCATCTATCTTTGGCCACGGTACTTGATGACTCTGTAGTCTGGCCACTAGCTTAAGTGGGCTTGGCTGTTCTTAACACCACCTTAACTAGAAAAGGGAGAATATAACCCCTTCAAAGATGTATTTATCAACGATGGTATGAAGTGAGCACAGAGATTCACGATAATCACACCACAACGCATAGTCACGCTGTTATTCCTTGAAAACCCCGTTGTCTGCAATCTGATCCAGTTGGCACAGATAAACAAATTGATTGATCGACCGTTGAAAGCGAAATAGCTGAGATTCAATTGAATGAATGGAAGAACTTCATTGACCCCCTACAGTTTTATTACTTATCCAATTTCGGGTTTTTGTAGGGATATTTGTTAGTTTCTATATTAATTTTTTTTAAATTAGATATATCACACTGTGAAACAGTATTATTTACTAGATGACGTTTCGAACACCATTGTTCTTAATGATATCAATTACAAGTATACAACTTTTAAACTTCCGTCTTATAGTTTTCTTCATTCGTTTCTGTTGATTATGGGGGTAATAGAGTTGTCCAGGTGGACAGGTGATGATTCATTCCTATTACACGTATTTTCAGTTGATTCGATAAATAAAGCGTCCGTTAATAATCACTTCCTCCATCCTGTTGTATTAGATTTTATAACTGTCATCTTATCCCATCCATCCTATTGTATGGTTGTGTGTAATTGCAGGTAGTGAGTGCTATCTACGGCTGAACTATTCTCCAGATTTCTTATCTTATTCGGGTCAACTAATCTAGATTTTGCTAGGTCTTTATTCTTCACTTCTCTGATTGATGCCGTTCTACTACTTTGACCTAACAATCATTACAGGCAGGGTATTAGATAAACTAAATTGTTTTGTTTAATTGGCTCAGCAGGATCCTTTAACCGTCAGAGCTTGTTTCCAATTGAGTTTGTAGGTTTGAATGCTAGCCACTTCTATTCCCGCATTGTTAGGAATTCTCCGTAATGTGATTTCTGAAGTTCCTTCTTTGTATTGAAGTATTACTGATGGTTTAAATTCCTTATTGTCGGTGGTGTTGTCATCATAAGAATAACAATGACGACGTCGAAAAGTCGTTCAAAATTATCAATAAACAAAAGAGCTCAATTCTCCCTTAGTTTGCTGAAGCCATTTCCATCAAGCGCCTGAAACCTGATTTGTGCGTTCAGAAAGAAACAATTATCAGTCTTTCTTTGCCAGCCTGGTAACTGGATATTTTTCGTCTCTGTTTCATCTGAATGCGTAATGCTGAAAAGTTTCCATTGTGCATGATTGTTATTGTTCGGAATAGTGTTTAATGTTACATATACATATATTGATTGATTCATGGTACATCTTAATATCAATTCTTTTAGGATTTCAATATGGATTCCAATGTTTATCGTCCGCTTGTCCACTTGTTCACATATATAATTAACTGTAAACTTCAAATTTGACGGCACGCTTTACAGGCAAGTGGACGGGGTGGCAATGGGCTCCCCATTAGGTCCAATTCTGGCTGATTTCTTTCTAAATAAGCTAGAAAATGGACCTCTGAACAACCTTATCAGTAAGCTCTCATTTTATTGCCGATATATGGATGACACCTTTATTCTTTGTGATAATGGTTCCGATAAGAGTACAATAATTACTGAATTCAATGAAGTACATCCGGCTATGAAATCCACATGCGAGGAGGAATCCCAAGACAGAATTGCCTTCCTCGATGTCCTACTTACAAGAAAACCAGACGGAAGCATAAAAAGAAATTTACTTAGAAAAAGTACTTGGATGGGACAATATACACACTTTCATAGCTTCGTTCCCATCAAATACAAAAGGAATTTGGTGAAGACCCTTAGCCACAGAGTTAGAGCTATGTGCTGTGAAGAAGTAATTAAAGATGAATTAAACATTGTATATGATACTTTAATTGAAAATGGTTATCCTGACAAGTTTATCAAGAAACATATGACGAAGAAGGCCGAAAAGGACGACCCACTATCTGTAAACAAGAAGCCCCTTTATATACGACTACAATTCAAGGGCGATAAACCAAGTGAGTTAATTACAAAGAAATTAAGAAAAGCAGTTCAAAGGACTTTTAATCCTGGCGAACTACACATCTTATTCTCTACAACAGCGATGGTGCTACCTCGACTGAAAGATGAAGTACCCAGACTGGCCACTTCAAATTGTATTTATCAATTCAATTGCGCTGGTGGAGCGAGTTATGTTGGCCGTTGCTCTAGGAACTTGATTTTTCGTGCTTGCTCGAGAACATATCCCACTATGGCTAAGTAAAGGTGTAGTTAAAAGTATTAACAGCTCGATATTAGACCATCTGGTGCAAACCGGTTACAAAGCCAGCGTAGACGAATCCTTCTCCATAATATACCGGGTGCCTAACAAACTACCAAAATCGTCGAAGCACCGCTTACTCCAAACAGCAGAGGCTATTGCAATTCGCCTCAAACAACCAGCGCTCTGTGTCCAAAAGAAACAAGTCCAGCCCCTACTACTGCCCTGGCCGTCAGTAGAGACTATAAACTCATGAATTTGTACCATTACCTTTCCTAATTCTTCTGACATTCAGTTTATTTGAT